AGTCTGATTCCTGGGATGGTGCAGAGGGCATCAAAATAGCTCTCCACATAATCCAGTTGATTTGTTGAAAATTAATTGCCAAAATACTGGTCATTCACATTATTAACTTAACTGATGCAATCAAATGCACAATAAGGTGGCTAAGGACTGGCTGCCACCAATCCTTTCCTGACCCACCTCCCCACCCCCAATCTCTTTTCAATGCTGAAGAGGCGCTGGCATTGTTTTCTTCTTAATTAAAGTTAGGTCCTAGGGAAGCTAAGAGCCAGTACCTCTTCAATCAAATGCTACCTTTCAATGAGTCACAAAGAATACTGACAGCTTGCCATCCATCTTTAGGAGGAGGACTATTGCCTCATTCACTACTAATAATTGTCCACTGCATGTGGCTGAATTTAAACCAAGTCTCAGGCTGTCCAGCAGAATGAGATACCAAAACACTTGTTGAAACTCAACAGTTAAAGACTGAGAAGCGCTACAGTATGGAGGAAAGAGGGCTGAACTCAGATGTGTAGAACCTGAGTTCAAATCCTGACTCTATTACTTAGCACTCCATGCACCTCCAGGAATGTCAATTCACCTTTTTAAGGGTTGATTTTGGAGCAGCTAAGTGGTGCAGTGGATAGAGCGCTGGGCTTGGAGTCGGAACACTCATCTTCATAGGTGTAAATCCCACCTTAGACACTTACCAGCTGACCCCTGGACAAGTCACTTGACTCTGTTTGCCTCAATTTCCTCATCTGTAAAATGAGAAAGAGATAGCTAAACCATTCTAGTATCTTTGCCACAATCTCCCCCCTTTTGGAGGGTCAGAGCAGCTCACGACTAAACAAACCTTGGTTTCCTTATATGTAAAATGAAGGAGTTGAGCTGCCTAGATGAACTTTAAGGTTCTTCCCAAACCTAGAACCAGTAACTTAAGATAAAACAATGAGAGTCATGTGGTTTAGCTGATAGAAGACCAGGTCTGGGAGTCAGGAAGACCTAAAGAGGCTTAACTTCAAAGCCTCAGGTGAATCTCTAAAACAAAATTAGAAAGAAACTTAGCAGAGAGATGCTGAGCTGTATTAGTAGAGGGAGTATCCAGCACAATGAAATCCGTAAGAAGCTAGATCCATCAACAGGTTTGATTCCTGGGGCAGATTCACTACCTGAATAACTTGTACTTTGTTTTTTTAATTTCCAAGCTAAAGCATGTTCATTCATACCATCTTTTTCTATTTGAAGAAAACATGGAAGGGGAAAGAATAACATTTCCAAGAGAAGGTGATCCAAGATTTAGACAGCAGGTAAGCTAAAATCATAATCAAAGTATCAAGAACTTTGCTGCAGTGATTTCTGTGGCCTAGATTTTGATTTCGGGTGTTTCTGAGATTTCCCAGTTGGTGTCTGAGGTCCCATCTGGAATCACCCAGTTGTAATCGCTTTTTACATTGCCTCCCACTCACCCTCCCACCAAGTGAAAAGACTCAACTTCCTATCCAAACCGGTTTGGAAGCCTTTGCAGGCCGCTCCCAACCAGCTGGACAATGTACAATCCCAAATGGGAGAGCTTGTATTTCTTGGCCACTTCAGAGATTAAAGGCCTGCTATCCTCTGACTAAACATGGGACCAATTTCCGGTTCTCATAAGGCAGAAATTCACATCCTTCTGAAAAGTGAGATAACTAGGCTCTGTCATCCCCTTGGAGTCAGGAATTATGTTAAGGTTGTCTTCGAGGAAAGAGATTCTTTGGGCTCTGACTCCCCTCTAATTTGGGGGGGGGGCTGAGCACAGCACAAACCCTGAGAATCCTGACAAGAGCCAGAGAAAATTAGAAAATGACATTGCGAAGAGGATTAGGACTCCATCGTTTCCCATGTTTTGCTACAGTTACTGGGTTTCAGAAGATTCCTGGTGAGCTCTGAAAGTGAAATGTCTAGTCAAAATGACCCCTAAATCACTTCCCGGGATGGAGAGTCTGTGAAGGGAGGGGGCGCCAAACTACCAGCAGCAGAACCCAGGGGGCTAATGAGATATTCCCATTATTACAGCAAGCCGAGGTATTTGGGTTTTCAAGCGCAGCAAGAGCTTCGTTTACGGGGGCTGCCAGAAAACAAACAAACAAACAAAAACACTACCAGGGAAACTATTTGACAAAGTGAGAAATCTAATGTTACAGGAAATGAGCATCCTTCTAATACAATCCTTGTATTAGAACAAGGTGTATGGGGAGGGGGGAGGGTGGCAGAGCCACACAGACTTGGCAAAAGGCAGCATGTGAAGACTTAACCCTGCCAATGCCACCGCCCCTTTAGAGCTGCAAAGCCCCCTCTCTTTAAAATGCCCTCCCTGCTTGGGAGCCAATGGAGTAGCGGTTCTCAGGTCTCTGGTTTGTAGGCAGTGAGATGTGGGAGCAACAGGATAGAAATTTGGGAAAACAAATGAACAAAAAGATATTACTGAAGTTCTCCCAAATTTAAAAATTGGAAGACACCTTGGGGACCACATCTATTCTAGGACTTCTTAACGTGAGTGACAGACCCCTCGGGCAGTCTGGTAAAGCATATGGACCCCTGTCTCGGAATAATGTTGTTAAATTAATAAAATAAAATATACAGGATTACAGAAGAAAGCAATGTATTGATGTATATTTATCAAAATACTGAAAAATCAAATTCATAGACCTGAAAGGGCAAACCTCTGATTCTGTCCGACCCTTACAAGACCAAAAGAAACCTCTCAACAACATCCCCAGCAAGACATTGACCTATCCCGTATTTGAAGACCTGTCTAGTGATGGGGAGCTCGCTACGTCTCCGAGAAGCCATTATAATTTGGACATCTCTTAATGATAGAAAGTTCTTCCTTACATCAAGCCTAAATCTCCTTCTCTGGAACAAGCCCCTTCTCGCACATCGGGGTCTGCAAACATTCATCCCGGGACGGGAACCACCCCCATCGTGATCTTCAAACCCGTAACTGGGAGCGCTCCTGCTCACATCTCTTGCTCCCTTGCTCCGGGGACAGTCTCTAACGCTGAGTCTAGGCTCTTTCATAAGACCGGCACATAAACACAATAAAAGTCATGCCCTGCTTCATCTGGACTTCAGCAGGTCAGTTGCCTCCCGCCGCTTTCCCAGTCTGACGCGGGTGCCTGTGCTCTCCACCCCCCCTCCCCCTCTGGTTGGGGCCACCGAGCCGGAAGGATGACAATACCTCGTTTTGTCTCCGAAAGGCAACATAGCCGAGGCTCGGAGGGGAGACCATGCAGCCTCGTTCCAACAGCCTGGAGCTCCCTCCTGAACCTGAGCCGGTCCCTGACAGGGCTGCCGGGCGAGGTGAGACAAGGTGAGACGCGGAGCGGCTGCCCCGCCAGGTGATGATGCTGGGACACGCCCTTGAACTCCTGAAGCTCCCACACCGCGCAGGTAGGACGCTGCCCCCTAGCAGGGAGCGCTTGGCACAGCAGCACCCCACTGGGAAGGCTGTCGATCTCCCCCACTGCTCCCCAAGTCCGTGGCCGGCTCCGAGTCCTGGCAAACTCAGGCGTCTCTGACCCGGCCCACTGTTTCCTGCCTCTCCTAGCCCCTTGTGCTGCGGCCTTCAGTGCTTTAGACGGCAGGCCAACCGACGGCCAACCTTATCCAGGAGTCTGGACTGCACGCTCCTGCGACGAAGAGCGAGGCTCAAAGCCCCGGTGCCCTAGATGCTGCTGCTGCTGCTGCTGCCTAAGCCTTCCTCCGTCCCACCCCGGACAGGCAGGAACAACTAACTGTAGGGGCCCTTGGGGAAACAGCGCCGCCCCCCCCCCACCGCGTCCCCTCCTCCTGCAGCTGTGGCTATTCCTCTCAGTTAGACGGCGCACACACACAGACACAGACACAGACACACACACACACACACACACACACACACACACATATACACTCACTCACGCTCAAGCTCCACCCCTGCTGGGCTAGGCTGGGCAAAGCTGAACAAGACTAGTGAAGATGGACAGCACGCCCAGCCTTGCTCTTTCTTCGTGGTCTCTTTCTCCTCCCTTCCCAGACTGCGGCTGGTGCTCCCAGGCCTGGCTGGCTGCCTCCCGTCCAGGACAGCCGGACCGGACTGGGCCTGGAGCGCTCAGTTAGCCAGGGCAGCTCCAGACCCGCCATTTGCTCGGGGTCTCCTCCCAGCCCAGCCCAGCTCCGCCTCTGCCCCCGGCCCCGCCCCCGCCGTTCTTCTCCCTCTCCTCTGTCCCTCTGGTGTGCCAGGCGGCGGGGGCCTCCTAGAGAGCCCAGCGCTGACCCAGGCCAGGCCGGAACCCCGGGGCAAGGCTCAGCGGCCTTTCTGTGCATCTCCTAAAAACTCCCAAAGGAGTAAAAAAGCTAGAAGATCAATAAAGTGGGTAGCAGTGGGGTCCTGGTCAGAGGGCCAGGGTGAGACTGCGCCCAGGAAGATTCCAGGCTCCAGCCCCCTATCCAATTCCAAGCACACACAAAAACACACACACGCCTATTCCTCCGGTTTCCCCTGTGGAAAGAACTCGGACTAAACCGGCCCTTTCTTCCGGGCTCCAAGGAGGAAAAACTGTTGGGGTTCGTTCTGGGGTTGAGGGCAAAGCAGGAGGGCAGAAGCGAGGCTGCAGCGTGGACCCGGAAAGCAGAAAAAAAAAATCTTTGCTCCGGTGAAGCCCCGGCCCGGCTGCAGACTTAGTGTCTGCGCCCCGACTGGATCGGCAGCCGGACTGTGCTTCTGGCGGGGCCGGAGCTCGGGAAGGGCTACCAGAGATCTCCAAGACCCCACTCCCTCCTGCGATCCAAGGCTCGGAGAGTTAGAGGTGGGAAGGGATCTTACAGGTCATCTGGTCCAGCCCCCTGTTTTGTGGGCTTTTGTTCTCCAAGCCCTAGGAGCGGTGCTGGGGTGACTCCTGGGCCAGAAGCAGGGGCAAGAGTGGGGGAAAGGGGAGGAAAAGAGCGGCGGCCCCCCCACTCCCCAGGCTCCCCAGTGCGAGGCTTGCGGGCACTCTGCTTACCTTGTGGCTTTCCGAACAAAGTAGGAGGAAGTAAAGTCCCAGTGGTCGTCCAGCCACGCTTCCACCCAGGCGGTGTCCCGGGGCTCCCCGGGCTGCCCGGGCTGCCGCTGCTGCTGCTGCTGCTGCTGCTGCTGCTGCTGCTGCTGTTGCCGCTGCCGCTGCCGCCGGCGCCGGCGCCGCCCCCGTGGGCTCGGACTCGGGCAGCCGGGCTCCATGGTCCCGCGGTGCTGCCCCCGCCCAGGGGCCGCTACTCGCCGGAGGCGCTCGGGGCCCTCCTCCCTTCCCCCCCACGGGGGCCCGCCCTTGCGGAATCTGGAGCCGGAGCGCTCCAGACCCTCCTCCCCGGCTCCGCCGGGCAGAGGGACGGAAGGCGGGAGCGCAGCGCTGGCCTCCCCCGCCCCTCCCCAGGCGCCCCACCGGCTCTCCAGGTGTGGCAGGCTCCGGCAGAAGCTGCGCTAGACTGAAACTGACACGGAGGCTGAGGCACAGGGCACTTTGGGGAGGGGTGCCTCCCTCTCTGCCCTGTGTCCCCGGGGCGTGGGTGCTCAGACGCGGGCAGGCTTGGCCACCGGGGTGCGCTGCGAGCCAAGTGGAACCAGGAGAGGACAGAGCGCGGGGCTGTTGGGGTTGCGGGGGCGGGGGGAGGGGGCAGGTTTCTGTGCCTTGGTGGAATCGGAGAAAGTGGCAAAGTCTGCTGACTGGGGGCCGTTCGCGACCAACCCTAGAAGGGAGGGTGGGATTTGCTAGGCTTCACACCTGGCGGGGGAGAAAGAACTAGAGGATCCTGGGCCACTTTCCCTTGGTGGACTGGGAAGAACAATAAGACTCTCCTTACTCCAGAACTGTGACCGCCCCTGAGGGCCAGGGATCTGTCCGCCGCAGCAGCCCGGCAGAATGCAGCGATCGCGCGCAGTCCATTATTAGCTCGGCGCTTGTCACATAGTGTGCTCGCAATAAATGTTTACTGACTATTAACTATTCTGGGACCTGCGTCTATTTCTCCTGATGACCACTGAGGACAAGACATTTTTTTTTCTCTTCTCATCCCCAAATTTGAGAACCAAGTTCCTTTACAGCACTAAATTCATTACTTAGGAATGTCTCATAACCTCCTAGTTTCTATCTGTACCTAAGGATCACACGTTTTCTTATTTTGCCTAGTTAATGAATATTCATTAATTGCTCTGCTATATACTACTCGCAAAACCTCGGACAAATGAATTTCCCTCTATGGGCCTCAAGTCTTTTTCATCTCTTCCAGTCTCTCAAAGTGTGACTGGTTATAAGTTACGCTGATGGTTTCAACCTAACGCTGGAGTAAATAAGGAAATCTACTTGTCTCTGTCTCCACTCTCCTTCTTTACCCTACTTTGCCTCTTGCAATCTGACTCGCCACTCAACTGTAGCTGCTTTTTCTGAGGTGAGATCTCTGAAAAGCTTAATCTGATGCCATTTGTTAATCCTCATCCTTCTTCACCTCTGAAGTATGTGACACTGGTAACCACCCCCTCCTCCTAGAGGGGGTAACCACCTCCTCTTCCCCGGGTTTTCACGGTACTGCTCTTCTCTTGCTTCTCCCCCACCCCCCAACCTCTCTGACTGCTTTCCGGTCTTCTTGGCTGGATCATCTATGTGTTGGTGAGCCCCAGGTCTCTATTGGTCTAACTAGCTCCCGTGGATTCAGCTGTCACCTCTTCTCAGGTGCCTTCTAGGTATTATATATCCAACCCTATTCTGTCTCTTAAACTCCAGCCCTGCATTATCAGCTACATATTGGGCATATACAACTGGACACCTCATAGGTGTCTCAAACTCAACATGTTCAAAACAGAACTAATTTGTTTTCCCCTTAAGCCTCTGTTTTTAACTTCTCTATTTCTGCTGAGGGCACCATCATTCTAGCTACCTGGGTTTGAATCCCATCAACCTGAAATCTTCCCTCTTCCTCACTACTCTCGTCCAATCAGTTACTTAGTTTTGCCAAATTCGGTCTCCACTTCTGTCCTCTTCACTCCCATAGTTGCCACTCTGGTTCAGGCCCTCATCTCCTTTCAGTTGGATTCTTGTGACACCCTCCTAATTGGTCCCCTGACCTCCAGTTTCTCCTCACTCCAATCTCATTCTCCACATGGCTGCCAAACTGATATTCTAAATCCAATCTGACCATATTCTAGATGCTACAGTGACTCTCCTTGGATTCTAAGAGAAACTCCAGCTGTTTCTACAGACCATATCTGAGACTAGCTAAATGAATTCACCTGGAATTCCTGGGACTTTGCTTTCTCATCTTTCCCATGGTCATGCCAGATGTTGCTTTTCTGCCCTTTATACTAGACCTCCACAGTCCATGCCCAGAAGGAGCTGAGTTACTCAGCTCTGGACTCCTCACAATGATGTAGCCTTGTGGTCTCAACCATTTTCTACCCAGCTGACTTTTTTTGTACTCCATTACCTTCTCCATTTTGGTCTGAGAATTACACTCAAATCCACCTATCATTGCTTCAGAAAGGGCATTTCAATGGATTGTAACATTGCTCCACTTCTCATCCCAGTGACTTCCCAGACTCAATCCCTTCCCTGGACACTACTGCCCTATGTGGGTTGTCTCTTCCTATCAGAATGTAAGCTCCTTGAAGGTAGGACTTTTTTTTTTTAAATTTGCACAACTAGCACCTAGCATAAAGTAGACCCTCAATAAGTATTCACTGATTGATTAATTAGGCCAATGAAATACATAATATAGAATGTGTTTTTCAATCTGATAGAAAAGCAAAGGATTGGTGCCTGAGAACATTAAGCAGCTAGGATTCCACTGCATCCTAATGCTGATCCCTGCCTTTCTCAGGGCCCTTTATAGTTTCCCTCCTCTTCTTTATAAAAATGCAGGAACAAAGCTTCTACAGACAGGCCCTGAGATTTCTAATACTCCTTGGAGGAGGGCCTTCACGAGGAGCTGGGATTGTGAACTCACACCATCTTCCACTAGGATTTACACAGTTCTCATGACTCAAGAAACAGGCAGGAGTCGCTCTTCTCCCTCGCAGCTCTCTACCGGGCCATCCCTCTTTCTCCTTTGTATTCCTGTCTCCTTCCTATCTGTCTTCTCTTCCTTTGTGTTTCTCTGTCTCCATCAGGTGCTGGTTTCTCTTTTCCTTGAGAGGGGGAGGTGCCACACTGGTCTCCCTCCAGATCTTAGCCTGTGCTTGGTCTCTGGTTTCCCATCAATCTTTGCTTCTATCAGGGGTTATCCCCTCAGTATTGGTGATTCCCTGATTCCAAGGAACTTGAGTTTTGTGGATAGACCTTACTCTCTATTTTCCCAATCTTAATGTTTTAAAACTATTTTGAAAGTTTTGATTGAAACCATTAAGGCTAACTGATGTTACCAAGCTTAGGTTTGTAGATGTGTTCCCAAGGCAAAAGGCCAATTCAAATGAGGGAACTACACTTAACCCAGAGACTTCTGTTGCTTCAGCAGCCAGGATGACTAGGACTGAGCCTGGTTGAAGAATTTATGCATTTTTTTTTTTTGCTAGAGGCAATTGGTGTTAAGTGGCTTGCCCCGGGTCACATAGCTAGTAAGTGTTGAGTCTCTAGTCTGAGATTGGATTTGAACTCAGGTCCTCCCGACTCCAGGCCAGTGCTCTATCCACTGAGCCACCAAGCTGCCCTGAATTTATGCATTTTCCAAGAAACACAGTAAGGCAGCTGGCCTTAGCCGGCTGCTCCAAAGCATGCCTGGGCACATCCACTCCAACCGCATTTTTCAGCAATTCATTTTTTTTTTCTGGCTCGTTAAGTCTGGAAGTTGTATGCTCCAAAAGGTGTCTGACAGTATTGGTTGTGACACACTTAGTGTGATTTCACCAGCTGCCTCTGTTTGAGCATACTCCAGATGATTCAAGAGATCAATAATTCACTTGACCTACCTCCAGTGGCCTGAGCAGCTCACTTAGGAACCCAGCCCTCGGAGAAATCCCTTCAGGCATTTTAAGGGTGTCTTCTATTTACATCATGCTCAATGTTCCCTGCCCCTGAAATAGGTACAATCTTTTCTAGTCTTCTTCCTCTTCAGTAACCAAAAATTTTCATGAATTATATTAAAAGAATTTACCCTAATCCTTTTCCATTTGATTTTTGTTTTATATGGTGGAAAGAAATTAAAGTAATTAATCTGAGTGAAATAATAAGTTGGAGCTAGTGTAGAATGGTGAAAAGAGCCCTAGTTCTCAGACAGGGGACCTGGATTCAAAACCCACTTCTGATGTTTAGGCTCTGTGGTGTTGGGACTTCACTTTTCTGGGGCTTAGTTTCCTCAACTGCAAAAAGTAAAGGGGTTGGGCTAGATGGCCTCTGAGGACCCTTCCAAGTCTACATCTTTGGTCATTCATTTTAGTCATGTTGGACTCTTTGTGACCCCATTTGGAGTTTTCTTGGCAAAGATAATGCAGTAGTTGGTCATTTCCTTCTCCAGCTAATTTGACAGATGGGGAAACTGAGGTAAACAGGGTTAAGTGACTCACTCAGGGTTACACAGCTAGTAATGTCTAAGGCCATATTTGAACTTAGGTCTTCTTGACTCCAGGCCCAACACCCTGTTTGCTGTGCCACCTAGCTGCCCTTAACTCTATATCTGGGATCCTCTGATTCTTCCCAATAAGTCTTCTTGATTCTTTACCAGTGAGGCAATTGTAAAGAAAGGGCTTCTCAGGATCCAACAGCTATGTCCTGCGAAGGAGTCCCTGACAGGCTGGCACATGGAGTCTGTCATGCCAAGAAGGTATCAGGTGGTGCCACGTTGAGTGTGGAGAGAAGCATTTTTCCTCTTGGCTTGGTTGTCTCCACTGGTTAAATGAATTAGATTCCTAATCTTCATTTTGTGCCATGTGCCCTACTGTTTGTCTCTCCTGTCCTGAGGTAAGGGATGACCAGGGAGCAGTTTGGACAAAGGACAATATTGTAGAGCTCATGAAATTTGTTACAACTAAGAACTGGAGAAGATACATTTTTTTTGCAAGGTAATTTAATTTATTCACTCAATGTACCAATTCCCTACAAATTTATGCTTTTAGAAATATGATCAAGAAATACATTTTAAATAAATAAATGGCAAATCAGAAAAAATCTTTCACTCTACAGAATACTTTTCTTATAATACCACTTTGATCAGGCTATTAGCCTCCTCAAAGTGATTATAATTGATAGGATAAATTGCAAATTTCTAATCCTCACATTTTAGCTTTGTAGTAATATACCCCCAACATATACATTGAGCTTCAGAGAATACAATTTCTACAGTT